AAGGAGGGAACAACAGATTGAGCAGTTGGTGAAGAGGCGGCGCCAGCTGCGAAAGCAGTGGAGGAAAGCTGAGGAAGAGGAGAAAGAAGGTCTGAAATCACTGTGGAAAGACGTGAAGGAGAGCCTGGCTGGCTTGCGAAGGGCTGAGCGCATTCGTAAGCGCAGGAAACGAAAGGAGAAAGAGAGGAGTGATTTCTTCAAGAATCCCTTCAAGCATGCAAGGCAGCTGCTGGAGGATAGGAGGAGTGGGAAGTTGGAGACAACAAAGGAGGAGCTGGAAAGGCATTTCAGTCAGCAGCTCAGTGATGCTGATAGACTGATTCCTCTGGGTTCCCCGGGGTATGTTCCTCGCCCAGCCCCCCCAGCTGTGCCCTTTAATACTGCACCCCCGAAACTCAGTGAGGTCGCAGATATCATTCGGAAGGCTAGAGCCGCCTCAGCACCAGGCCCCAATGGAATACCCTACAAACTGTACAAGCATTGTCCCGGTGTGCAGAGGATCCTGTGGAAACTCCTAGGAGCAGCATGGAAAAAAGAAGTTGTCCCCGTAGAGTGGCGGAGAGCCCTGTCTGTCCTTATTCCCAAGGAGCAAGACTCAAAGGATATCGACCAGTTTAGGAACATAGCCCTTCTAAACGTAGAAGGAAAGATATTCTTTTCCATCATGGCCAAGAGGATGACCTCGTTTCTTACGCGTAACGGATTTATAGACACCAGCTGTCAGAAGGCGGGCATACCAGGCTTTCCAGGGTGTGTTGAACATTCCTCGGTGATATGGGAACAGATTCAGAGGGCGAAGAGGGAGAAGGGCGATCTGCATGTCGTCTGGTTAGATCTTGCCAACGCCTACGGGTCTGTTCCCCACCAACTTATTACATACGCCCTGGACTTCTTCTATATCCCTGATCCCTGTAAAGTATTGATATCCAGATACTTTGAGGACATCCAGATATGCTGCACACACGAAGACTTCACCACAAAGTGGCAACGACTTGAAGTTGGCATTGCCATGGGGTGCTCAATCTCCCCAATTTTGTTTGTAGCAGCATTTGAGATCATCCTCATTGGGGCAAGGCAGGTGGTTGGAGGAGTGAAGTTGCCATCAGGCCAAAGGCTACCCCCACTGAGAGGGTACATGGATGACGTTACCACCATTCTCCAGACAGCTCCATGCACTGTGAGACTGCTCAAGAGGTTTGACGAACTTGTGGAGTGGGCAAGAATGAGAATCAAACCCTCAAAGTCACGAAGCTTGTCCCTTCAGAAAGGGGTCAGGAGTGACCGCACCATCTTTAGCGCTGGCGGTGAGGAAATCCCCTTGTTGTCAAGCCAGCCTGTCCGGAGCCTCGGCCGAACTTACTCTGCAGACCTTACGGATAAACAGATGGGGAACGCCGTGAAGAAGCAGTTGGCAGATGGCCTTTCCAGGATCAACCTCAGTCAGCTCCCAGGCAAATACAAGGTGTGGTGTTACCAATTCACACTGTACCAAAGAATAATGTGGCCACTCAAGATGAGTGAAGTTCCCTCCTCCACAGTGTGCAAGTTGGATAGTTTGGCAAACTCGTACATAAGGAAATGGCTCGGGCTACCAAGATGCCTTTCTGATGTAGGTCTCTTTGGCAAGACCAAGCTTCAGCTGCCCCTACGTTCCATCAGCGGGGGATATAAACAGGAGAAGGTGCGGTTGATCATGGAACTAAGAGAGTCCACTGACCCTCTGGTGAGAGCTGCGGATGCCCAGGTTCTAACCGGGAGGAAATGGAGGGCCAAGGAGGAAGTGGACCTGGCAATAAGTAGGCTGCAACACAGGGAAGTGCTTGGCAGAGTACAGGACGGCCGGGCAGGCGTCGGGTGGGGACAGGCCCCCCTCTTCTGGTCGAATGCATCCAAAGAAGAGAGGAAGGCAATGGTGGCAGCAGAGGTGATGAGAGCTGAACACGAGAGGCTTACCATCAAAGCAGTGTCCCAGGGCCAACAGGGAGGCTGGCTGTCGTGGGAAGGCGTTCTAGACAGGCAGCTGGCTTGGTCTGATGTATGGAAGATTCCTCAGGCCAGGCTAAGTTTTCTTGTCAGAGCAGCATATGACACCTTACCTTGCCCCCGCAACCTCCACCGATGGTTCGGCAATGAGGAATCTTGCCTCCTGTGCAGCACTGCTAATGCGAGCTTCCAACACATCATGTCTGGCTGCAAAACAGCGTTGGCACAGGGGCGCTACAGGTGGAGGCACGACCTGGTGCTGAAGAAGCTCGCTGAGGTAGTGGAAACATGTAGGCAGGAAGCGAATAGCAGGCCCCCGGCCCTAATCGCACATTCCATCCAGTTCGCGAGGGCTGGGGAGAGGGGTAACACCCACCACCGGAAGGACACAGGAAGACTCCTTACACCGGGCAAGGGGTGGACACTAGCAGTCGACCTTGGGAAGCAGCTCCAGTTTCCCAGGGAGATAGTGGAAACGTCGTTGCGTCCAGATCTGGTGCTGTGGTCTGCTGCTTGCAAGGTGGTCCTGATGGTGGAGCTCACAGTCCCATGGGAAGGAGGACTTGAAGCTGCCCATGAGCGGAAGCGGGCCAAATACTCTGATCTGGCTGCAGAGTGCAGGGAGGCTGGTTGGAGGGCAGTCACATACCCTGTGGAGGTGGGGTGCCGGGGGTTCGTGGGCTCCTCAACCTCTCGTCTGCTCCGCGACATGGGTGCAACAGGTATAAGGCACCGGAAAGCCATGAAAGAGCTGGCAGAAGAAGCTGAAAGAGGAAGTTACTGGCTGTGGCTGAGAAGGAAGGCAAAGAATTGGGGTCCAGTCTCCATCTAGGGCATCAGCAGGGGGTGGCAGGGAGAAATCCCTGCCATCGCTCCGCCACCATGAGATGTACTGGGGTTAAAGGAGCGAAACATCCGTGACTGGTGGTCCCCAGCTGATGACCCATTAATGCCCTTTGTAGTGTTCCACAGCATGTACACCTGCAGTACACCTCAATCTCTTAGGCACCGGTGGAGGTGCGACAGGCAGAAATGCCCTGCAGGTTTCACCATCTACCTGTATGTTAAACTAATATCTGGTTTCCAGTGACTGCTGTGAAAGTGCAGTTGGCGGCCAGGAAAGACTGGCGGACGGCAGGAAAGTCTGCACTGGGAGTGGAAGGCTAGTCACCCAATCCACTTGTCCCCGTGGGGACACCCTTAACCTGACTACGAAAACGCATAAAGGAAAACAACCCGGCGGCCCTCCGAGAGGCGGGATGGAAGAAGGGCCAAATCGGACGGATTTCTCGGCAACGACTGGATCGAATATAGACAACGAGACTAAGAGGTTGAGGAAATGCAGGTGTGGGTGGGAGAAGAAGACCACGTTCAGAGGATTACGGATCCATCAGGGAAAGATGAAGTGTGTAGAAGAGAGTCTCCAGCAGCATTGCACTGCCGCACAAGCTGCAGGTAAGACAAGTGGCCTCCAGAGCCGGGTTACACACCACAGTGCTGAGGGATCCACAGCTGAGGAGAGGGAGCAGGAAGTAGAGGGAGGAGATCTAATTGTGGAGAGTGATCCTGTTGAGGGTGGTCTAGCGGAGAGCACATCATTTGGGCCTGATAACCAAGGGCCAGGTTGTAGAGGGGAAAGAAGAGAGCCAGGGCGGAGACAAGCGATCAAGTGGCCAAAAGCCAAGGAAGTGGCAGTGTGGCAAAATCTGGATGTGGATCTTAGTACCATTCTAGATCACTCACTTCGTGGCAACGTCGAGGCCAAGCTCAATCTCATCGGAGACATCTTGTATGAAGAGTGTAGAGGCAGGTTCGGAATAATCTCGGGGAAGAAATGCGCAGGCCCAAGGCCGAAAGGAAGGAGGGAACAACAGATTGAGCAGTTGGTGAAGAGGCGGCGCCAGCTGCGAAAGCAGTGGAGGAAAGCTGAGGAAGAGGAGAAAGAAGGTCTGAAATCACTGTGGAAAGACGTGAAGGAGAGCCTGGCTGGCTTGCGAAGGGCTGAGCGCATTCGTAAGCGCAGGAAACGAAAGGAGAAAGAGAGGAGTGATTTCTTCAAGAATCCCTTCAAGCATGCAAGGCAGCTGCTGGAGGATAGGAGGAGTGGGAAGTTGGAGACAACAAAGGAGGAGCTGGAAAGGCATTTCAGTCAGCAGCTCAGTGATGCTGATAGACTGATTCCTCTGGGTTCCCCGGGGTATGTTCCTCGCCCAGCCCCCCCAGCTGTGCCCTTTAATACTGCACCCCCGAAACTCAGTGAGGTCGCAGATATCATTCGGAAGGCTAGAGCCGCCTCAGCACCAGGCCCCAATGGAATACCCTACAAACTGTACAAGCATTGTCCCGGTGTGCAGAGGATCCTGTGGAAACTCCTAGGAGCAGCATGGAAAAAAGAAGTTGTCCCCGTAGAGTGGCGGAGAGCCCTGTCTGTCCTCATTCCCAAGGAGCAAGACTCAAAGGATATCGACCAGTTTAGGAACATAGCCCTTCTAAACGTAGAAGGAAAGATATTCTTTTCCATCATGGCCAAGAGGATGACCTCGTTTCTTACGCGTAACGGATTTATAGACACCAGCTGTCAGAAGGCGGGCATACCAGGCTTTCCAGGGTGTGTTGAACATTCCTCGGTGATATGGGAACAGATTCAGAGGGCGAAGAGGGAGAAGGGCGATCTGCATGTCGTCTGGTTAGATCTTGCCAACGCCTACGGGTCTGTTCCCCACCAACTTATTACATACGCCCTGGACTTCTTCTATATCCCTGATCCCTGTAAAGTATTGATATCCAGATACTTTGAGGACATCCAGATATGCTGCACACACGAAGACTTCACCACAAAGTGGCAACGACTTGAAGTTGGCATTGCCATGGGGTGCTCAATCTCCCCAATTTTGTTTGTAGCAGCATTTGAGATCATCCTCATTGGGGCAAGGCAGGTGGTTGGAGGAGTGAAGTTGCCATCAGGCCAAAGGCTACCCCCACTGAGAGGGTACATGGATGACGTTACCACCATTCTCCAGACAGCTCCATGCACTGTGAGACTGCTCAAGAGGTTTGACGAACTTGTGGAGTGGGCAAGAATGAGAATCAAACCCTCAAAGTCACGAAGCTTGTCCCTTCAGAAAGGGGTCAGGAGTGACCGCACCATCTTTAGCGCTGGCGGTGAGGAAATCCCCTTGTTGTCAAGCCAGCCTGTCCGGAGCCTCGGCCGAACTTACTCTGCAGACCTTACGGATAAACAGATGGGGAACGCCGTGAAGAAGCAGTTGGCAGATGGCCTTTCCAGGATCAACCTCAGTCAGCTCCCAGGCAAATACAAGGTGTGGTGTTACCAATTCACACTGTACCAAAGAATAATGTGGCCACTCAAGATGAGTGAAGTTCCCTCCTCCACAGTGTGCAAGTTGGATAGTTTGGCAAACTCGTACATAAGGAAATGGCTCGGGCTACCAAGATGCCTTTCTGATGTAGGTCTCTTTGGCAAGACCAAGCTTCAGCTGCCCCTACGTTCCATCAGCGGGGGATATAAACAGGAGAAGGTGCGGTTGATCATGGAACTAAGAGAGTCCACTGACCCTCTGGTGAGAGCTGCGGATGCCCAGGTTCTAACCGGGAGGAAATGGAGGGCCAAGGAGGAAGTGGACCTGGCAATAAGTAGGCTGCAACACAGGGAAGTGCTTGGCAGAGTACAGGACGGCCGGGCAGGCGTCGGGTGGGGACAGGCCCCCCTCTTCTGGTCGAATGCATCCAAAGAAGAGAGGAAGGCAATGGTGGCAGCAGAGGTGATGAGAGCTGAACACGAGAGGCTTACCATCAAAGCAGTGTCCCAGGGCCAACAGGGAGGCTGGCTGTCGTGGGAAGGCGTTCTAGACAGGCAGCTGGCTTGGTCTGATGTATGGAAGATTCCTCAGGCCAGGCTAAGTTTTCTTGTCAGAGCAGCATATGACACCTTACCTTGCCCCCGCAACCTCCACCGATGGTTCGGCAATGAGGAATCTTGCCTCCTGTGCAGCACTGCTAATGCGAGCTTCCAACACATCATGTCTGGCTGCAAAACAGCGTTGGCACAGGGGCGCTACAGGTGGAGGCACGACCTGGTGCTGAAGAAGCTCGCTGAGGTAGTGGAAACATGTAGGCAGGAAGCGAATAGCAGGCCCCCGGCCCTAATCGCACATTCCATCCAGTTCGCGAGGGCTGGGGAGAGGGGTAACACCCACCACCGGAAGGACACAGGAAGACTCCTTACACCGGGCAAGGGGTGGACACTAGCAGTCGACCTTGGGAAGCAGCTCCAGTTTCCCAGGGAGATAGTGGAAACGTCGTTGCGTCCAGATCTGGTGCTGTGGTCTGCTGCTTGCAAGGTGGTCCTGATGGTGGAGCTCACAGTCCCATGGGAAGGAGGACTTGAAGCTGCCCATGAGCGGAAGCGGGCCAAATACTCTGATCTGGCTGCAGAGTGCAGGGAGGCTGGTTGGAGGGCAGTCACATACCCTGTGGAGGTGGGGTGCCGGGGGTTCGTGGGCTCCTCAACCTCTCGTCTGCTCCGCGACATGGGTGCAACAGGTATAAGGCACCGGAAAGCCATGAAAGAGCTGGCAGAAGAAGCTGAAAGAGGAAGTTACTGGCTGTGGCTGAGAAGGAAGGCAAAGAATTGGGGTCCAGTCTCCATCTAGGGCATCAGCAGGGGGTGGCAGGGAGAAATCCCTGCCATCGCTCCGCCACCATGAGATGTACTGGGGTTAAAGGAGCGAAACATCCGTGACTGGTGGTCCCCAGCTGATGACCCATTAATGCCCTTTGTAGTGTTCCACAGCATGTACACCTGCAGTACACCTCAATCTCTTAGGCACCGGTGGAGGTGCGACAGGCAGAAATGCCCTGCAGGTTTCACCATCTACCTGTATGTTAAACTAATATCTGGTTTCCAGTGACTGCTGTGAAAGTGCAGTTGGCGGCCAGGAAAGACTGGCGGACGGCAGGAAAGTCTGCACTGGGAGTGGAAGGCTAGTCACCCAATCCACTTGTCCCCGTGGGGACACCCTTAACCTGACTACGAAAACGCATAAAGGAAAACAACCCGGCGGCCCTCCGAGAGGCGGGATGGAAGAAGGGCCAAATCGGACGGATTTCTCGGCAACGACTGGATCGAATATAGACAACGAGACTAAGAGGTTGAGGAAATGCAGGTGTGGGTGGGAGAAGAAGACCACGTTCAGAGGATTACGGATCCATCAGGGAAAGATGAAGTGTGTAGAAGAGAGTCTCCAGCAGCATTGCACTGCCGCACAAGCTGCAGGTAAGACAAGTGGCCTCCAGAGCCGGGTTACACACCACAGTGCTGAGGGATCCACAGCTGAGGAGAGGGAGCAGGAAGTAGAGGGAGGAGATCTAATTGTGGAGAGTGATCCTGTTGAGGGTGGTCTAGCGGAGAGCACATCATTTGGGCCTGATAACCAAGGGCCAGGTTGTAGAGGGGAAAGAAGAGAGCCAGGGCGGAGACAAGCGATCAAGTGGCCAAAAGCCAAGGAAGTGGCAGTGTGGCAAAATCTGGATGTGGATCTTAGTACCATTCTAGATCACTCACTTCGTGGCAACGTCGAGGCCAAGCTCAATCTCATCGGAGACATCTTGTATGAAGAGTGTAGAGGCAGGTTCGGAATAATCTCGGGGAAGAAATGCGCAGGCCCAAGGCCGAAAGGAAGGAGGGAACAACAGATTGAGCAGTTGGTGAAGAGGCGGCGCCAGCTGCGAAAGCAGTGGAGGAAAGCTGAGGAAGAGGAGAAAGAAGGTCTGAAATCACTGTGGAAAGACGTGAAGGAGAGCCTGGCTGGCTTGCGAAGGGCTGAGCGCATTCGTAAGCGCAGGAAACGAAAGGAGAAAGAGAGGAGTGATTTCTTCAAGAATCCCTTCAAGCATGCAAGGCAGCTGCTGGAGGATAGGAGGAGTGGGAAGTTGGAGACAACAAAGGAGGAGCTGGAAAGGCATTTCAGTCAGCAGCTCAGTGATGCTGATAGACTGATTCCTCTGGGTTCCCCGGGGTATGTTCCTCGCCCAGCCCCCCAGCTGTGCCCTTTAATACTGCACCCCCGAAACTCAGTGAGGTCGCAGATATCATTCGGAAGGCTAGAGCCGCCTCAGCACCAGGCCCCAATGGAATACCCTACAAACTGTACAAGCATTGTCCCGGTGTGCAGAGGATCCTGTGGAAACTCCTAGGAGCAGCATGGAAAAAAGAAGTTGTCCCCGTAGAGTGGCGGAGAGCCCTGTCTGTCCTCATTCCCAAGGAGCAAGACTCAAAGGATATCGACCAGTTTAGGAACATAGCCCTTCTAAACGTAGAAGGAAAGATATTCTTTTCCATCATGGCCAAGAGGATGACCTCGTTTCTTACGCGTAACGGATTTATAGACACCAGCTGTCAGAAGGCGGGCATACCAGGCTTTCCAGGGTGTGTTGAACATTCCTCGGTGATATGGGAACAGATTCAGAGGGCGAAGAGGGAGAAGGGCGATCTGCATGTCGTCTGGTTAGATCTTGCCAACGCCTACGGGTCTGTTCCCCACCAACTTATTACATACGCCCTGGACTTCTTCTATATCCCTGATCCCTGTAAAGTATTGATATCCAGATACTTTGAGGACATCCAGATATGCTGCACACACGAAGACTTCACCACAAAGTGGCAACGACTTGAAGTTGGCATTGCCATGGGGTGCTCAATCTCCCCAATTTTGTTTGTAGCAGCATTTGAGATCATCCTCATTGGGGCAAGGCAGGTGGTTGGAGGAGTGAAGTTGCCATCAGGCCAAAGGCTACCCCCTGAGAGGGTACATGGATGACGTTACCACCATTCTCCAGACAGCTCCATGCACTGTGAGACTGCTCAAGAGGTTTGACGAACTTGTGGAGTGGGCAAGAATGAGAATCAAACCCTCAAAGTCACGAAGCTTGTCCCTTCAGAAAGGGTCAGGAGTGACCGCACCATCTTTAGCGCTGGCGGTGAGGAAATCCCCTTGTTGTCAAGCCAGCCTGTCCGGAGCCTCGGCCGAACTTACTCTGCAGACCTTACGGATAAACAGATGGGGAACGCCGTGAAGAAGCAGTTGGCAGATGGCCTTTCCAGGATCAACCTCAGTCAGCTCCCAGGCAAATACAAGGTGTGGTGTTACCAATTCACACTGTACCAAAGAATAATGTGGCCACTCAAGATGAGTGAAGTTCCCTCCTCCACAGTGTGCAAGTTGGATAGTTTGGCAAACTCGTACATAAGGAAATGGCTCGGGCTACCAAGATGCCTTTCTGATGTAGGTCTCTTTGGCAAGACCAAGCTTCAGCTGCCCCTACGTTCCATCAGCGGGGGATATAAACAGGAAGAAGGTGCGGTTGATCATGGAACTAAGAGAGTCCACTGACCCTCTGGTGAGAGCTGCGGATGCCCAGGTTCTAACCGGGAGGAAATGGAGGGCCAAGGAGGAAGTGGACCTGGCAATAAGTAGGCTGCAACACAGGGAAGTGCTTGGCAGAGTACAGGACGGCCGGGCAGGCGTCGGGTGGGGACAGGCCCCCTCTTCTGGTCGAATGCATCCAAAGAAGAGAGGAAGGCAATGGTGGCAGCAGAGGTGATGAGAGCTGAACACGAGAGGCTTACCATCAAAGCAGTGTCCCAGGGCCAACAGGGAGGCTGGCTGTCGTGGGAAGGCGTTCTAGACAGGCAGCTGGCTTGGTCTGATGTATGGAAGATTCCTCAGGCCAGGCTAAGTTTTCTTGTCAGAGCAGCATATGACACCTTACCTTGCCCCGCAACCTCCACCGATGGTTCGGCAATGAGGAATCTTGCCTCCTGTGCAGCACTGCTAATGCGAGCTTCCAACACATCATGTCTGGCTGCAAAACAGCGTTGGCACAGGGGCGCTACAGGTGGAGGCACGACCTGGTGCTGAAGAAGCTCGCTGAGGTAGTGGAAACATGTAGGCAGGAAGCGAATAGCAGGCCCCCGGCCCTAATCGCACATTCCATCCAGTTCGCGAGGGCTGGGGAGAGGGGTAACACCCACCACCGGAAGGACACAGGAAGACTCCTTACACCGGCAAGGGGTGGACACTAGCAGTCGACCTTGGGAAGCAGCTCCAGTTTCCCAGGGAGATAGTGGAAACGTCGTTGCGTCCAGATCTGGTGCTGTGGTCTGCTGCTTGCAAGGTGGTCCTGATGGTGGAGCTCACAGTCCATGGGAAGGAGGACTTGAAGCTGCCCATGAGCGGAAGCGGGCCAAATACTCTGATCTGGCTGCAGAGTGCAGGGAGGCTGGTTGGAGGCAGTCACATACCCTGTGGAGGTGGGGTGCCGGGGGTTCGTGGGCTCCTCAACCTCTCGTCTGCTCCGCGACATGGGTGCAACAGGTATAAGGCACCGGAAAGCCATGAAAGAGCTGGCAGAAGAAGCTGAAAGAGGAAGTTACTGGCTGTGGCTGAGAAGGAAGGCAAAAGAATTGGGGTCCAGTCTCCATCTAGGGCATCAGCAGGGGGTGGCAGGGAGAAATCCCTGCCATCGCTCCGCCACCAATGAGATGTACTGGGGTTAAAGGAGCGAAACATCCGTGACTGGTGGTC